TGACGTCGAGTTAAAACAAATAAATTAATTAAATTTCCTGCATTGGCAAAAAGCGACAAAATAATACTGATGACTCCTAATGTCCAAAATGCAAATGATGAAAGAAAATCAGTTTCAGCAAGACGACTTGACTCTTAAATACATTAGAAAACATGAGAGGATTTGTTTTATGAATAATTTTCTATTTACCTTCGGTGCAATTCATTTGAGATAAAATGAAAAGTATAGAATCTAAAATAATGATATTAATTTGAGTGCGCTTAGTAGTGTTTATCTAATCGTCTCTTTTTGTTTATGGGCAAGAAATCTTATTCATAAACAAAAGAACCACGAGATTGGCAGATGTGTTGTGTTTTTCATAAGCATATCAGAGAAAAATGATTTGAGAAATAAAAACTGTTACGCCATTATTTTCTAACGGCGTGTCATATACATTTTTCTCAGAGAATGAAAGAATAATTCTTGTTTTTTCTCTAACTTATGCCATTAGAGTTCTCATTGGTTTATTTGAATATTCAGAATAAATCATCTAAACCAATGTACCTAATAAGTAGATGACATATACAATATTTACTCATACAGAAGAGAAAAAAATCAATTATATATATACGTGATACAATTTTTTCCTGTAAAAACTAAGTAGATCAATTTGATCTCAATAGTACAAATTGCCTTTATATAATAAATAACGCAGGAAATCAAGAAATCGCGTAATTATTTTGTTCGCTTTGTACTCAAACAAGACGTTTTCTGTTGAGAAAGAAACTTCAGGGTGCATGTTTAAAATTGTGTTCGTAGATTGCTAGACAATGTTTTTGCCCTTATACTAATTCGAAAAGTTCTTAATGTATATTAGCGTCTTGCGATGTGTACATCTAATTATATATAGAGAGAAACGAAAGATAATAGACAGAATATATACTGAATTCAGTCTCGCCTATCATGATAATTATCACCTTATTAGTAATGCAAATAGTTAGTTTCCTAAATTATCAACGTACTATCAAGATGACCTTTACCCATAGGCAATCGTTTTTAAAACCTATGAACCAAGTTCTGTGTGTGCTGCTCAGCGTATTTATTTATTTAAAAAAGATTTCATGCAAAATACTCTAGAGAATACAAGTGTCAGATTGCTTGTGTGCTCGTGAAATGTGTACTATACCAGTTTTAATAAGTTAAGGACACGACAAAAAAGTATGACCTGCTTGCTTATTACTCTTGCGATACGAAACGTCAACGATATCTTGTAAGAAATTGTGGCCGAGTCCCTGGAGAAAACTATGCTTCGAATTTCTAATTTGATACCATGTATGGTGGCAAATTCTAATGAGATTGAGTTATTGCATAAGTGATTAGATCATTGCGTTTTCATATCTTACGAAGAACCTATAATAAAAGCACACACAGCTTTTGAATAATTCATTTTAGAATTAAGTGTACATGTACGTTTACGTACTGCGCCCAATTTTCATAAATAAAACGCGAAGAAGGCACTCATTCCGAGAAGAATAATGTTATAACAAAATATTCACGCATAAATGCGCTAAGCGCAAAATATTTTTAAAATGATATTCATAATACTAAGTTAAAAGTGATTTAACATTTGGAAGCGTTTACTTGTGTGACAAGTTTCAGTGAAGTGCGCTGATAAAACTACGATATCTATTAATAGAAGAATGTCGACGTACATAAATAGTTATTATCGATTCTATTCTGTAACAGACGTACTCAGATTCCTCAGTGTTCACGGACCTATATGACAGGAAATGTTCGACGGAATATTCTATTTCGTCAAGATTTTTAATAGCTTTCGAAATCATTCTCACTGCGATATTTCTTCGGCCTAATTGCTGATCCGAGGGACATGTTTCTTTGTACGGAAGTAGATCGCATGTCTTTCTTCAACCGTTCAATTAATAGTACGGTTTATTTTTGTTATCTATTATTTAAAATAATTTTTTTAATTGCGATCAAGCTTAATTGAATTCATCTGACATGTCTACAATTTGGCTTACTTAGATGAAACCGAAGCCGGCTGTCTCTAATTTTGTTAAAACGTTTTCTGTTGACAAAATAAAGCTAAAGCAAATGAATATTCGTCCCATGCAAACTTCACTATGCTCAACAAAAGAGTTTATTTGAAAGCAAAACGAAATAGTGTCCTATAACGTCTTCTCATTTTACATTGATTTCACTCAATAGCTACTTGCCTTTTGAAAACTAGTGAAAAGAAAGATGATCTACAAACAATTTGCTGCTCTATATTATGAATATGACGTTCCTATTAGCTTAGTTTTTGCTTTTAATCATGCCGTTGTCTATTTTAGGGGTAATGTGTAAAAAAATGCCATGATGAGCACGCAAGAATAATGATAAGGAATTTCGTTTGTTTTTCTTGAGTTTGGCACAAAATATAAGCAATAATTCTATGCAAATGGATTTTTTCTATATCATGACTGACAGATTCTCATTCCACCCGTTAATCCGAAACATTCATCATTTCAAAGGGAAAAAAAACACGACTTCATAATAATTACTATGGTGTACGTAGGTAGCAATCCTGTGTTGTTCTAACCTAAGTGAGTCTGAAGATGATCTCAATTAACTGCGGTTGCGGTTCCTGAACCTCAAACTCATTTAATGATATTAAAAATAGGTGTTCCATATATTTACTTTAATCAATTATTCTCTTAAAGCACGGGATAAAAAAAAGTAGCACATCTACGAAATTTTTTTTCTCATTTAGAACCCGTGTAAAAAGCAACAAAAATGATTTATATGTCGGAGCCTTGCATGTTGTTTCTCAAGGTAAAAATTCTAGTTAAATAATTATTAGCTGTCCACCATAGTCAAAGAATTTATAGAAAACAAATTGAATCACGACATACGTCCTCACTATTTTTGTCATGTTTGCCGTAGAAAACATGCACGACACTAATCATACAACAAAATGTCAAAAATAAATAAATTAGCTGGTTCCAACATGCCCTGCTTTCAAGAAAATGAAAAATGTTCTTTTATAATCTTATAAAAAAAATATGTTTACGATCATAATTGTGAGCGTTGCTTTCTTATCATGTGCATTGAAGCTCGCTTTAATCAATACCTTTTTCTTTTGACGTTAACATTAGCCTATGAAACCTGAGTGGAGCCTTGCCTATGCCAAACGCTACTTGTTTCGCGCAGCGTATCCAAGCAAATGTCTTCATTTGGATAGCGTACTACTATTTTATACTGAAGCAGCATGCAGTTATCTTGTCACATCGTAAGAAAATTGAATTATATCCACTCGTGATATTGTCGATTAATCAAAATTCTTTTCAAGTTTCGGCAACGTCACAATTCAATAATAAAGAACATGTCTCTAAAACAAATTTCTTGTTGTCATTACAAGATACTGTATTTCGAGAACTATTGTTTTGTTAGCTAAAACTTCAAAAAAATCGTATTTTGCACATTGTTTTTCATAGTTGAATTTCCGTTATATGATGATTCACAGTTTATTAATCAAGTTTCTTTTCTCTTTCTAAATCCTTCATAGAAAAAATTGTGATAGTTTCCTTTGGAAAATTAAATTGCTAATATTTACAAAGAAAATTTAGACATGATCAGACCTAGAAAACACTTCAATCTTATATTTTGTAAATCGATTACTTGAGAATGTCTAAATAGCTCTTCTCTTATATTCTTAGCATTAAGATAAAAATTGAATTAACATATATCCAAGTCGAACAAGTATATTTGTAAACAATATATATCTGCTAGACAATGACGCTATTCTACATAACTCAATTATATGATAGTATATCATCATGGGCACGTATATGAAGAAATGCGATAATATATAGACCAATGATTGGACAAGTACAAGTACAGCAAGTATAAGTACAAATACTTGGTACTTCTACTTGAGTAAATTGTACTCAAGTAGAGGTGTACTGAGTATCGACACTAAGTACATTGTACTTAGATGTAATAAATATCAATTTACTGAAGATTTATTCTAACAATAATATATCTACTGTATTGCGTAATATTTATTTAGATTGATGATACCCATCTTATTTGGCACTTTACTGCCATCTACATAAAAAATATGGTTATCAATTAGAATGATTGAGCTACGAAATATATATTATATGAGGCTGTTAGTTTTCTTGCATGATTATTATGACCAAAAATTAATATGTTAACGCGCTCAAAACCCCAAGATCCCCTATGTGCACACTAATGCTTACTGAATAGAAATTAGTTATGTTCGTATCGTTATTATACTACCAAGCTAGTTACTCCTTTTGTGGAACTCACCAATATTTTCGAAGAAAATAGTGAGTTTAAGTTGTATAACGAGGTTTTGTGCCTCCCCACCCCCTAGACCCCAGCAACCAAGTGGCGAGAAATCAATATTTTGGCATAAATTTTCTTAGTAACCAAACGGGCGTGAAATCAAACATTACTTCATGAGTTTCCCTAGCAACAAAAGAATAGAAATAATAACAGTGTTTAGATCATTCTGGAAGTCTGTAGATTCTAACGGTTCTAAATATGCGAGGGGAGAGCAGGGGGGGGGCGAGATGAGTATTAATGTAGGAAAGCCTTTCATTTTGGTGTCACTCAATAAAATGATTAGTTTAGCTAAGGCAGAATAGGGAGACATGGAAAACTATAGACTTGCTCATTGCAATGTAGGCAAAACTCAACAGCATACGCCAAAAATCATGAAGAGAAAGAAATTTAGACTAAGAGATTTCATGAACGATTAAATGGATCTACATAACAGGCTACTATGGTTGTTAAACCAACAAAACGAAGAATAATTTGATATTTATCCTTTCTTATGCCATCCGTCGTATATAGTATGATAAGGAGAAAAAAATAGGTATTCAAAATGTATACGACAATATGTATATAAATTTGTTTAAAACAACAATGCTGAATAAATCACATTAGTCGGGACAAAAATAAATATCAATGCGACATTTTTTAAATAAGAAAATTTCAAAGCGCGCGTATCAATCATCAAAATGATTTTTATTTTGACTTATTTGACATTTGTTAAAACGAAATTATCTTAGTCTCTCTAGCAATATACAGTAAATTTATTACGCCCAAAGGGAGTGAGTTCCATATTTTAGCACCGATAGGTGCTACACTGACAAGTTTTTTCACTTAATATTATCTTCTATACGATTTCTCACTTTC